CACAGACACGCACACACGCACAAACACATTGTATATTTCTTATTTTTTCGATCCAATGCAAAATAATACTACTGGAGAAAAACCACACTGTTAGAATGTGTTCACTTGTCTGTGGAGTTGTGGAAAAAGTTCAGTAAAATAATAATTATTATTCAAGTATTGGTTTTCTAGGGATTTTGTTCGATTGCATGGAGGATTTCACCATGAGCTGAAATCAGTTAGAGTTTGGGACTCTTCATCAGAACGCACCCACCGAAAGGGTTTGAACCTAGGACCTTCTGGTTGCAAAGCTAGTGAGCTCGTAGACTATTTAGCCACTGGGACCCGATACAATGACCAGTCCATGAATTCTAACTCCTACCAATTCATCACATATCGCGACCACTTCGATGAGTTACTGCCTTACCTTCAATATGCTCTACCCTACTGGTCACGACTTCCCACTAGAACCTCAGGTTAACTGCCTGAATAGGGCAAGTCACTAGTGAGCATCGGGTCAATTTTTAAGTATTGGTTTTCTAAGGCAGTTTGTTTGATTGGATGGAGGATTTCATCATTCGCTGACATCAGTTAGAGAACCACTGGAAAACCCACCTGGGAGTACTGGACAGCTGTTATTACACACAATGTTTACTTTATTCTGATGCATTCTAATGCATTCACAATGTGTGTTTTTGAATTGACGGTTTCACCCAAATAAACCAGAATAGTTTCAAGTGTGTACATTTGTATAGATTAGAGGGATTTATAATTTGATCACAATCTGTCTGATACCATTTAGAGAACCACTGAAAACCAGAAAGTGCTAGATTACTGTCCAGTCTCAGTTTGGATGTGCTTAGCAGTCCTCACACCATAAATCTATAAGTGGTCTAACTAAGGGCCATCAACTTACACAGGATGTGTTCTTTTAACATACAACCACTGGGCGGGAATCTAACGATTGGTTCACGAAATGGAAATACTGTTAGTTCATGATGCACAACTCAAACTTCACTAAATGTGACCTTAATGTGGATCCAAACGACCTCGGCAAACTGTAGTGGATGAACTCTTAAGGTGAAGTTAAGACTCGTTGGTATGAGGTAAATGACTTTGAAAGCCTCTTTAACATCAGTCTTGCGTTGTGTATCCACAATATGAGATAGAATAGCGCAGAGTGATGTTTGGAAATCCGACGAGAAACATGCCTAATTGTACGGCCTAAACAGCTAACCGGTTGCTTCACAGGAGCAGTGAAGTTGGTGGATAAACTTAGAAGAGGCGAAACTAGGCAGTTTATCTTAAACTCTCAAAGGCAAAATAGGGGTGGTTTTGAAGACACTGTGCAATTCAGCAGAACTGAATGCTCTTTTTACTGCATTTCTACGGCGTTGTTTTAATATCTCCCTGATGTTATTATTAGCTGGTTAGAGGCGGTCGGCGGGAATCCTCAAGTGACCTAGGTTTTGTGTTTGTTAGCACTCACCAATCAACAAGTAGTGTATCTGGGATCTCGAAAGAACTCATGCCACCTAGTGCTGTAGTGAGATATGTTACCAGTGAGTTGCTGACACTGCGGCTACAAGTATGTAAGTGTTAATCTTAATATAGTCAATTGGCTAGGGAATAACAGTGACTAAATGAGAAACGGAACACCAATCGCCTCAGTTATCCATAGTGGACAAATACGGAGAACATCAAGAAGATGCGATTGGATGTGACAGATCACCTTGAATGTTTTTGTTTTATCTTGTGAGTGGTCACTATCACTTAAATATGACAAAACAGAACTTTATTTAGATTTTATCTCTGCTGACTAGCCTGTCTAACAGTACGCCGAACATAATTACCTCGACAGGAGCATCTAAATTGATAAACTGCGTGAATGTGGCAAAAATACGCACTGGAAAAAACAGTTTCACTTGACAAATCCCAATGAAATTGTCACTTGGTTTCTTCCGCACTGTTTCTTAATGTTAACTGTTTATAATCAAATGCTCCTGACACGAAATATAGGATGATAAGAAGTCCTATCTACAAATATAGTTTTATAGTCATATCTAATAGAAGGGACCCTAAGCACGATATAAACAGCATCCATACACCATACTCTTCACATACTTGAATAACAGGCAATCGTCTTTAAACGAGACCGATACAAAGTTTGGTCAGTGGCATTTAGGCTGCTATAGCAACCACATTGTTGCCTTCACAGTAACAGAACGTCAGTTGGCTTCCACCTACAAGTAATTCTTCAATAAGAGTGATGAAGTATCAATTCTTATTCTATTCCTTTGCGTTCCGAGTGGAATTTGAGGCTTCAAGCTCGAGCACTACAGTTTCAGCAGCAATGGTGTTGCTGGTCTCGCACCAAACCTTTCCTCTCTACTGGGCTTACTATCGTTCAAACGAGTTCTAAGAGTACTTCGGCCGGGAATTGAACCTCGGACCACATGAGCATTTGGCAAGCATTCTACAAGCAAACCACTAACACACTGAGGTAGAATACAAGTTGCACTTTATGCCCGTGTAATGAGAACTCACATAGTTTAGGTGCGATGATGTCGTTTGTTTTATGGTGTGGGGTCGGTGGCCTAAACCTCATTACTGTTCTTACTGTCGACTAACCAAGGTTCACGATTGCATCAATTGGAAAGCGAATCCGTACCTTATTTGAAGTTGACCAGCTGGTTATAATGACAGGTAAATTTTGTAGTGATTCGATTTGTTTCCAGTTTTATCATGAATTGGTATCAATGCGAAAATGACTAAAAACCAACCCGGAGTACTGGACAGCTGTTTTATCCTGCATTGGGACTCACTGAAGGCACCAGCTCACCAGAGTTCGCTCCCAGTGATTCTCAGTGGGATCCAGCTCCTCAAGGATCAACACATGAATTCTAACTTCTGCGAAATAGTGATTTTAGCACATATAGCACCATCTAGTGTCATCGGCGAGTATCTGTCCTCGTACTCGACCTGATGACGCGCCCTACTAACTTGTCATGGCTCCTCACTAGAACTCCAGTCTATTGACCTCGTCTTAAAGCCATTCACTAGCGTGCATTAGATTTATTTCTAAGAGTCAGTGTGTAGGGATATCAGTCAGAGAACCATCGAGAACAAGCTGAGAGTACTGATAAGCTGTTTCACTGAAGATTAATATTTTCTGTCACACAACTGATTAGTTTACGTCTCTATTAAATTTGGTGGGCTATTTAAATCACAGTGCCACCTAATAAAATGCATCACATTTTCTCAAATATCTTCATTTTACCAGATTTGTTCCTATCCAGTATAAACGTTCCCTAGTGAAATGTTTGTTCTCAAGGGCCCGAAAAATATGCACGAGTGACACAGTGATGGATGAGTTTCAACATATACATTCAGTTTTATTAGCTAATGGTTATCCGGAAAACTTTATCACTTATCACAGTAAAGATAGACCACATCTCGGAAAGACAGCTTCTGTACTAAAGAAAGCTATCTTTGCTAACCTACCATTCAAGGGTGACCAGATTATGCAGTTGACAGCTAGCTCAAAGACTTCAGTCAGCCATCAAACGCACATTCTACGCCGCATCCTTTTTTCTCAATTGCTGAACATTTTCTATTCCTGTACCAACAATTAAAAGAGCAAATTCTGTCAACTCTACTTCAAACTGTACCTACAAGTTCACCTGCAGCTGCGGTGACACCTATATAGGTAGAACCAACAGAATACCATATTAGTTTGTTTATTAGATAAATCACACAGTGAAACAGTATTATTTACTGGATGACGTTTCGAACAAACACACACAACCATATAATAGAATGGGATAGGATGACAGTTTTAAAATCTAATGTCACGGGGTATAGGGAGAGACTGATAACAGAAGCTTTTTTTATCGAATCAACTGCAAATACATGTAATAGGAATGATTCATCACTTGTCCCAGATATCTGGAAAATTCTACTCCCCCTACGACAAATAGGAGAAAACAAAGAAAGCTATAAAACTCAAGTGTCAAAGTCGTGTGATTATAATTGATATGATGATGAACAATAAATTTTATTCGAAACGTCATTCAGTAAATAATACTGTTTCACTGTGTGATATACCTAATAAACAAACTAATATGGAATTACTTACTACCACAGTGCCCAAGTTTTACACATATATTAATAGAACCAACAGAATATTCCAATGTCGTCGAAAAGAACATGTTCCAAAATGGCTACTAAGTCATATAGAAAATCCCAACGCAATTAATCTGAATAGAAATCCAGCATCATCCATTGCAAAACACCTACTAATGTCAGGTCACAAAATCAATATTAATGACTGTTTCACAATTATTTCACATAACTCTAATTCAGGGTTGGTTATTGAAGGTGATGGAAGCACTTTGAATTAATCACATACAGCCTAAATTGTGTGTACAAAATACAATAGACTTCAATCTTCGCCTACCATGGACAACATGACCTATCTTAATGTGATTGGTCATTAGTATGTACTTTTGTTTTTTTTATTTAACTGAGTAATTGTCATGAACTTTATTTTATTATTGTTAACCATGTTAGTTGTAAAGCGGTTGTAAGGAAACTAAGAAATGATATCATCTCGCCATATTCAAATTTATCAAAGGGACTAATTGTTTTTATATTTTATTGTCACTTGAGTCCTTGAGTCGTGACATGTACTCAAACACATTTTCAATTGGCTTTCAGCTTACCAGTGAGCAGTTTTCAGAGACGAAGGGAAAATATCACTAAGGATTAGTCTACGCTTCAGATCTAAAAGAACTGAGTCACATGATAAACTGTAGACTGCCACTTCATCTGAAGATCCTGGATGAGAAGAAAATATGATGCAAAAAGTCATGCTGAAGAGTCTGTACACTGCACAAACGTCTTCTTTTCAGAATAAATAGCTACTTTTATTGTGTTTTCTATTTATTTTTGTTTTCTATTTTAGTGTATACATAATTGGTCTTTAATGTTCGTTGTACCATTGTCAACCCACTGCCTGGATGTCGACTAATCTAATCATATAAAAAGCAATCTAAATCATATGTACAGTACACAGAATCATTATGCCCAACAGTTACCTACCCTATCAAGCACAAGCATTCAACAGCATCATAGTACAGCATCACAGTACTTTAATAAAGCTACAGACTATACCCTGGATAATCATAATACTACTACTACTAACTACAAAAACAGTAGTATAGATGAGGATAGTAACAATAATAACAATAATAATATTGAAAATGTTTCACACATGTTTAACCTACAAGAGAAGCATTTATTATCTGATAAAAATCATCATCATAAGTCAGCCTACTCGCCTGGGAATAAGCACAGTTTAATGCAGACATCATTTCAGCCAACACTAAGCCCCTCAAGTATGACAACAATGAAGGGAGACAACGAGGGTAAACAGTCAAACGCCTTCACAGCATTGAATGATCCTCATCAACGTTATCGTAACAATAATAATAATAATAATAAGGCGTTATTTCGATGTAAACTATTAACAATATGCAATTTTATAATCACCTTATTATTAATTGGTTTTGGTATTGCCTTGTATGTACGCTATCGTGAATGTGATGCACGGATTGGATTTATTGAACAATTGATTGGCAATTCAGAATATTATGATGATAAGTCAATGATGTCATCAGCAGCCTCGACAGTGTATCCTTTCACAGAGAAATTCAGTGAAGATTCACCTGTTAACAAGGATGCATATTCTACGCATAAACCATCCATAATTGGTTATGCTAAAAGTAGTAAAATATGGCCAGCATTGAATGTAAGTTATGTGAACAGTGATCATTTTTAAAAAATATTACTATTATTATTGTTCCAGTGGGTTATAAGTGGGAGACAGGGCTTCAACAGAATATCTCCACTTTCTCCTACCCTCTGTGATCTTTTTCGGCTGACCTCATGATTGTCCGTAGGCCCTCATGTCCTCCTCACATGATCTCTTCTATATCACCTTCTTTCGTCGTTCGCAGTAGTGGGTCTGCCTGGTTGGTGATGTCATCCAGTGGTTTCCTCAGAATGTGTACTATTCATCACTATATACTAAGCAGTAATTGCTTAACTCTTCCGTTTTCTGCCAGAGTTCCTTGTCGCTAATACTTTCTGGTTGGCCATGTATAGCTCGTTGTAAATGCTTCTCTTGAGGCACATATCAAGTTTCTTACCTATATGGAAGACGTGGCTGGCTTACTACTAGTGTTGAGAATCCTAATTCACTTGTTTGTCGAGTTCATAAAATTTTCAAATTGATTTCAGAGTCATAAAGGTCCGTCTTGCTTTTATAATTCTGGTCTTGACATCCTCATTTGTGGTGTCGGCTGTAACTGGAAGGATGCTTCCTAGATAAGTGAAGGATGAGCAGTCTTTAAAATTTCCTAACTTTACAGTATTTTGTGGTTGTTTTGTTGTTATTGGAGTGTTATTTTCATCACCTTCGTTTCCTCTGCGTTCAACAGGAGCCCTGTTGAGAAGCTTATCATGAAATAACCTATGTGTGGTATGACAAAGGTGGAGGCATATATTGAGAAAATAGATAATATTCCTAATAATAAGTCCAGTTAGTATAAATGGAAAATCCCGTAGTATTGTGAGAATGTTTACATGAAGGGTATTAATTGTAGTGAATAATAATAATAATTGTAATAAAAGGCAAAGAAAAAGAAGAGAAAAACCAAGAGGGATAAGGGGAAGCGGCACTCTTGGTGAGTTGGAGAATCATTAATCCAAGATTGGCCACGGTAGGAATAGCATCTGAATGAGTTCTTTTTGGATACAGAGTTCTGGTTTAGTAGATTTTATCGCATTACTAGTTAACCAGAACTCACTTGTAAGAGGTACCTGAGAACCAAGAAGAATATTCTCAACAAAGTGGCATCAAAACTCTGCTCACAAGAATCACCCACCAGTTACGTCAAGCAGACATTCTAAGGTCTGAATGACCTACATTCATTCAAACGAAGTCACATTCAAAAATAACACATTACCGTTATTATCACACAACCATAAAGACAAGCATTATAACGGGAGGTAAAACAGGAAAACATCCAAATAAATTCAAATATTGTAACTAAATCATCCACAAAATGGAATATCAAACAATTGTCCCGTCCTCTGGTGGATCCTTACTTTTTAATGAAGTCTTCCCGATGCCGAACAGAAAGAAGTATGTATTAAGAAAACAATATTCAGCGAAGAGACTCTTTTCAACGATATTTATTATCAAGCTGTACAACCGTATATATATGGTTTTTAAGAAGTTATATCCGATGAGGGAATTAGGTCAAAGGTGTGAATACATGAAATAATAATGACATTATGAAATGCAATTAAAATATTTGTGATTATAATCATAGTTTAATGTCAAGTGGCACAATAATTAATGTCGTATATAGAATATAGAATAATGCATAAGGTATATAGATTTTGGAAAGGGATACATAATTATAAGATTAGTAGACGAATATAAAATGTTACATAACATGGTGTGAAATTTGATAAGATAGAATTCAATATTGTAAAAATAAAAATATAAAAATTAATAATTTTGGGTTTAAAATGTCAAGTGGATCAAGTGGAAAAGATTCAGAATGAGAATAGTAATAATAATAATGATAATAATAATATTAAAAATAATCGTAGTAATAAGGGAAGAGTACATAGAATAACTAAATAAACAAAATAAATAAATGTCTATCCCTCCACGGCCAAGGCAGAAGTAGGGATTGTACATACTTCTTTTGTACACAAAGGTCTGGCTTAAAGTCATGAATTGCCAAGGCCTCAGCTGTCTTTAGAAGTCTGTAACGAAGAAAACGCGGGAAGTTAGCATAGATTCTATATATGATCTTAAAATCATGGTCAGGGTTGACAGACTGACAGAAGTCGATCAGGTGTTCCAAAATAGAGCTTTGCAAACACTTCCTTTCTCCCTTGTAAAACCAAGCTGGAATATGTTCTCGTATCCGTGTGGAAAGCGTCCTCTGACTACGGCCAATGTACCTAGCTCCACAAGAGCAGGTTAACTGATAGATGCACATGGAGGCGGTCACACGGGGGAGCTTATCTTTTACAGAGGTAGAGAACAACTTGCGACAAGTGAACTTCATATGTAATTTTGCTGCATAGAACGTCTTACTGACTGATTTAGAGAGACGATTTTTCAGCATATCTGAAGCTTGATCACCTTTGAATTCCAAGTTCATGAACAAGGTTTTCTTTGGAACTGTGTCGGTGACTAGTTTAGACTGCTTATCTTTCATGTTGCTATCAATAAATCGGTTAAGGTAACCGTTTTCTGCCAGCGTGGCTTTTAAGAAGTCAAGTTCCGAGTCAACTCAATCAGAACTACAAATTTTCCTTATCCTAGAGCAAAGCGAATGAATTAAGTTCTTTTTCCTGGAGATAGGCACCCAACGGTTAAAAATTAGTTAGTTGTCCGTTCCATGTACATTTCCGGTGGATGGCAGTTGTTGAAAGTAAACAAGACATCACCAAGAATTACGTTTTTATCGCAGATAACGAAAGTGTCGTCTACGATTGTACAGCTTGATAATAAATTCATTGAAAAGAAATATGTTACGCTCCTAAGACTGAGACATAATGAAGAGGATTTGTTGCTCAAGTGGGTGATTTTGATGTAATTGTGTCCTCTGACCTGGACGGTTTATTTGTGAAGCTTTAATTGGCCTACTAGGCAACGTCTCCAGAGAGTATACTTCTTGACTACATCAAAATTGTCGCATTACACCAAGGATATTATAAAATTGATGCCAGAGACTTCAACTGGGGAGATTCCAGCTCCATCAAGGGATCATGAAAAAGAAATTACTACTCATTTCTATTAGATAATTTTAGTTTAGAAGTTATTCTGTTAATTCAGAAAACTAAATATTTAAGTAATCTAAATTAGGAGGAATGAAATGTACAATATTTTGTGGAAAATAAAAAAATACCATGTGGTGTCAATCTAAAATTTCTTCTCATTTAAACACAAGTCAATCATATTACTACTATTAACACTACTACTACTACTAATAATAATAGTAGTAATAATGCGGCAGAAAAATACAACCTCTATGAGACAGGCATTCTAGAACACAGCTGACAAAAGGAAAATAAAAAGACGTAGATTCGCTTTGTCTTGTTCTCCAGAAAGTTTTCAAAACATTTGTTTGTATTCTGAACTAATCAGTTACATTGGAAATTTTATTGGGTACATTTTTACAACTGCCATTTCCGTTTCTCCGCGTAAAAAAAGGGACTTTTCAGAGAAATGTGATGCAAAAAGCGCATCACATAGATACACCTTTAGATTTTGTGTGATAAATACACTGTGTGTCTGAAACGACTAAGGCCAGAACTCACTCCTGACACAAACCTTCATCTTGGTAGAAACTTCTCTCTCTCTTACTCCACTATCCTGTTTAAACACATAAATGTACTAATAAAGAACATTTAGAAACATAGAAAAAGAGGCATGCAAATAAATTGAAACAGACAAATGTAGAAATGTAGAAAAGAGTAGTCCATTTTTATCATTGAGAAAAAGCAATACCCATTTTTTATAGTTGCTAAATATGGCTTTTTGGAAAATTTCCCCTATGATTGACGGATGACAGAATGTGGAATGAAACTTGACTGATAGTCTTACCCTGAAAGAAATTCTCCTCTAAGTTTATTTTAGTTGTGTTCTTTTTTAAATTTTGTTTTTGTGGTTGTTATTTAACTCAACTAGTTCAGTATCTGATATAGAAAAAGAAAAGTGTATTCAACTGAAGGTTGTAATAACCGCTGAATCATTGAATGCATTTTCAATGTTCAATGGCTAGTGAAATATCCTTGTTTTAATGACAAGACTTTGTAACAGGAGTAGTAGAAGTAGTATTCATGTATCTAATTTTCCTAACCAATGTTGACTGACATGAGAAGAAGTCAGTTGTGATTCTATGCGAAACAAAAAATATATAGCAAAATGAAATGGAAGGATGTTGAGAATGTAAGAGTTAGACTTGGCTTAACTTACACCTAAATTAACCACTCTTACAAAAACTTCTTCACCGCTTTATGTCCCTAGTTGTACTCTGCCTAATGTGCAAATACTAACGAAATGAATCAAGGTAAAAAGATTTGAGATGACTAGCGTGACTGGAACAGAGTTATATTTACACAAAAGCGATATGAGATTTGATAAAGAATAAGAGGGTATACACTTATCTACAGTCGAGACGATGGTAAGCTCGGAGAGTGTGCCGGATGAAAGCACAATGACAGAGAGAACCAAAACCGTACAGGAGATTCACGAATCAAAAGAGGAAGTGGTGCTCAAGGTCAGGTGAGTCCGTTCAAACAAAAGTTCGAAGGTTCAGTGTACACTACAAGAATATGAAAACACTAACAAAAGAAGACAAGGTCCTGTCGGTACTTTTAATAATAATAATAATCACTTTATTCCACAACAATAACAATTTACAGCATGGAATTTTCAGCGTTTCTTTTACATATTGCAATGGTTTAGCTCTGTTTATATTTATATAAATGTATAAAACGTTGACATATTGATAGTTAATAGGAAAAAATAAAAAACCCAACAAAATCACACCATTGCTAGGTCATAGTGAATGATAAATAAATAATATAACAAATAAAACATGCAACAATATGCATCATTACATTTTATAGTTTAGTTAATGATTTAAAAGTTGTAAGAGTTCTTTTCTGATATTTGTCTCTTCACACAATACTCGTGCCACATATGGTACGGTCGAA